ATAGCTATACCAGTAAATCCATGACTATATCATGAAAGGAAGTGAATGTGACAGCTTTGAAGGCTGAACATTATCCTGTGGCCTGATTTAATGGTGCAGTAATACAAATTGGCATAAATACTATTGTTCTTGCCGAGCTGCCCAGTTGTACCATATGTTATATGTGGGATTACACTTCCTCAATAAAGTACGGATTCTACTTCTCTTTTGGGTTGAGTCCTGTCTAGAATTCAAAGCCACATGCTGAAAATTGTATGTTAAGGTATCTTAAGGACCTTTGTGTAGCATTTTGCCAATTTTGGGGCTTTGCTATTTGTTATAATTTTAAGGACTAGTGTACTAGGGCAGAGGGGTATCCTAGTGGTTAAAGTGTTTGCTTGTCACACACCGAAGACCCAGGTTCGATTTCCCATATTGGTACAATTTGTGAAGCCCTTTTCTGGTACTGTAAATCATGAAATTAATACGTCACGAATTTAATGCGAGTGTGAGGGTCTAGTTTAAAATGCGTCACGAAATTAATGCGAGCTCAGGAATCTGATGATAAAATGTGACACCCTGAACCTTTGATGTTGTTCATTTTCTTTTACACTTGTTATTTACCAAATAACCTGAATTGAGCTTGTTAAGCAATGAATGGAAATGAGCTGACATGTTTGATCACGTGATTGTGTGCTACTATTTGTCTTATGACAACATTTATAAACATAATCCTACTTGAAAGACTTCTGTTGAAAGGATTTGCTCACTCACTCACTCACTCCAGCCTATCAATTTTTCTGTCTGCAGTAGTGGCCGACAGCTTGGTGGGGAGAGTCTGACCTTTAGCGAAAAAACTGATGCCGTTAGTGCCCAGTATTACTGTAGCATTTTACCTCTTAATGTGCTTCTGGACATGATTGAAGCCAAATTACGGTGACATCGGATGTGAACACTCATTCAGATGTAGCCAAGTGATATGCTTGTCAACAGCAGTAGACATTAATGCTAGCTGTGTACCTCATAGCCCTGGGTTAGAGGGAGTTAGTGGGTATAGTTTGAAGCTGCTTTAGCAATATTTCAGCAATATCGTAGCTATGGACAGCAGAACTTGGCTTCACACATGGTACCCATGTGGGGAATCAATCCAGGTCTTCAGCGTGACAAGCTAACGCTTTAACCACTAGGCTACCAGGATTTCTCATTCACTGACTGGTATCTGCTTTCCCAAGGTAATAAGAATGGGATCTAGAATGACAGACCAGGTTTAAGAAATACTGTTACGTGAGTCCATATTTGTGTTTGTTTGTGGTTTAATTCCACCCTCAGCAATCTTTATGGCGGCAGTCAGTAAATAATTGAGTTTGGACCAGACAATCCAGTGATCAACAGCATGAGCATCGATCTGCATAATTGGGATGTGTCAACCAAGTCAGCGAGTCTCACCCCCTGATCCTCTCAGTTGTTCCTCTCAGCTAAGCATGGGTCTCTGAAGACCAATTCTAACCCGGATCCATATTTGTGAGAAGTAATCATTCTAGTGTTTACCCAGAGACTATGATCAGTCTCTCAGAAAGACAGGAACAGCCCGACAATCTTCACCGTGACAACAGTCACCTCCGTCAGGCTCCACCCTTAATGTCCTGCATGTTGCAATACATGCAGCACCTCCACAGCGCATGTACATCACTGATTGATTTCCTGTCACTGATGTAGCTGCCGACCTGTTGTTCCAGTGTAAGTAGTGAGCAGCACTCGCTGCTCCCTGACACGGTGTTACACATAATCCTGCATACTGGGCTTCACAGCCAGCTATGTAAATGGGCTGTTCCTGACCCTGCCTCTCTTACAAGCTTATGCACTACTAATGGTGCAGTTGGGCAGCCAAGTTGCTCAAGTATACCTTGTCGTGATCAAGGTCTGAGTTCCATTTTCCACAAACGTACAATGGATGCACGTTCCTTGTTGCTTCCCTACAGCAGTCACTCAGACATGCATGCACATGCATGACTCAAATATGCATGCTCACACACACGTAGAGACACACAGTACTGCATTAAATAGTGTAATGCTGTGGCTGTCTGGTTTGATGATGGTTTAGCCAAGTGTTCGCTCATCTTACCACAACCCCAGTTTGATGGCCTACATGGGCTTAGATGCTAACCACTCCAGTTTTGGCGGAGTTATTCCAATTTTCAAATACGAAATCTGCTCTCCGATTTCTCTTTAAATTACTCCGATTTTTTAGAAAAAAATCTGAATAAATTTATCGGTATACAATTTCGTAAGTCACCAGTGATGTGTTTGAGTGAATAAGCATTCAAAAGCTTAGCGTGTGATCCTTTAGGTGTTGATTGTGTATATTGCGTGTTATTGATGAAGTTTCACAAAGTTTTTCCAAATGCATGTCATAGTCCGTATGAAAGTGAAACAAAATGGCAGAGCTGACCACTCACTCACCCCCAACTCGCACCTTTGGTGCTCAGGCCTGGCTTTCAGCCAGTCATGACTCCGTTTTCATTAAATTCAGGGTTGGCATCTCTGCATGGGTACAATGTTCCACAAAGTGATTGTAGAGCTATGACAGTCGTAAGTCTATGTTGAAGTATGGGAGTTACGATCATCTTAGGGCTACGACGATTTCATGGAATGGGGGCCTGGTGTTCCCAAATGTTATGAGGCTATTGTAATGCTAAAAGTGGAATAAAACCATGCTGACTCAGCAATTTGCAGTTGTTTTTCAGCTTTCAGTCTACAGGACAGGGTTAAAAATTAACTGAAATACACTCTTCTGAAGTACCCGTAAAGGTCCGGGTTAGAATATTGATCTTCAGTAACCCATGCTTGTCGTAAAAGGCGACTAACAGGATTGGGTGGTCAGGCTCGCTGACTTGGTTGACACATGTCATCGGTTGCCCATTCAGCAGATCGATGCTCATTCTGTTGATCACTGGATTGTCTGGTCCAGACTCGATTATTTACAGACTGGGGGCATATAGCTGGAATATTGCTGAGTGCGGCATAAAACTCAACTCACTCTTCTGAAGAAAGTAATATCAGGAATCACCATTATGACATAAGGAATAGCTTGGTCAGTGCAACAAATTAGTATGGGAGACTTGGTATCATGGTCTGGTTAACATGCAAGGAAGGTCGCTGGGCAGGAACTACTTGGCACAATGTCTGCTAAATCAATAAATCTTAATATATAACATGGCCTTTTTAGGTAAGTGTTCCCTACATGGTGGTTGTTCGTTTAGATGACCATAGTGGCAAGTTATTTAGCACTGTCTGATAAATGGGTTCACATATGTGGTTTTGAAAGTTTACATGAATATATGCCTTTTACATCCATTTTCTTTGTGTGAATGACATTATATGATAAAAATAAATATTAACCTTATAATTAGGGAAAGAAATCTTTCAATATTTCCCACTAGACCATAGTGGTTGTCCGATTAATTGAAATAATCGAAGATTGGTTGCAGTGACTAAACGACCAAGCAATCGATCATGTTTTCTCATAATCGAACGCAACCAATGTTGGAACACTTGTTTGCATCAACAATATTTTTCACAAGGTTGCTTTTGTCTGTGTCATTAAATTTACATTTCATAAGCACTACAAGCTCGTTCCAAGTCATGATTGAATTTATCTAAAAGAATCCAGGAAATCTGTGTTCCTAATATACTAATAATCCTTTAAATATGCAAAATCTGCAAATGGATTTTGTTTAATTTGCCAAAAAACCCAAATTACTACATGTTTTGTATCTCCCGCAACGCGTTTTGCGGGGGGTATTAAAATGGACTCCGTCCGTCCGTGCGTGCGTGCGTCCGTCCGTCCGTGCACATTTGTCTTTTCCAGAGCAGAACTCTAAAACCGTTCACTATTTCTTTACCAAACTTGGCACATAGATTGGTCTGGTGGTGTACTGGTGTCTTTTGGTAGTTTTGGAATTCTGAATAAAACATTTTTGGCGTTTCCGTGGCAACAAGTTTTGACTTAGACTGAATGGTGGTAGTGCTCTTTTCCGGAGCAGAACTCTAAAACCGTTCAATGTTTCTTCACCAAACTTGGCACATAGATAGATCTGGTGGTGTACTGGTGCCTTTTGGTAGTTTTGGAATTCCGCATAAACTATTTTTGGCTTTTCCGTGGCAACAATTTTGACTTAGCCTGAAATTGGTGGTAGTGCTCTTTTCCGGAGCAGAACTTTAAAAACCTTTCAATACTCTCCTTCCACTTTTCTATATACACACCTAAATTTTGACATAATCATAACTCGTAGACATAATCATGAAGAGTATTTTGCCATTGTGGGGGATATTGATGACTTTGTCTTCTTGTTCTTTATTTCTTACAAAGACAACAGGAACATTTGATAAATGACGCTAACCAATTATTTTTGATGATTGATCGGTTGTAATGGACCAGTCATCAATTATAAGATTTTAACCAATTCCCAACACTACTAGACCACAGGACCAGGGAGTGGACAATATTTAGTGGTCCTGTCTGTACTTCATACATAACAATCATAGATTTACTTAACTATCAATACAAAATTCACTGGCCAACAGAACCACTACAAACTTATCATTTAGTGGTCCTGATGAATTTATACTAGCCAGGGACCACAAGACCAGCGTAAATTTGGCACACTGACATGTGTGTTCCTGTCTGTTAATATCATGTATTATGTGTACAAGGTATTTATTTAGCTATGCCGGCAAAGGCTTCTATGCAACAATTTTATTCCTGATTCTAAATAACAAGCATGATTTTATTCCTTATTCATTTAGACCAGAAAAATGCACCCAGCTAACAGTTTACATTAATGTGTATTATTTACTTATGTGTCAGCTGTGGCAAATGTCTCAATTAACTTTGATGGTTTGTCGACAAGGATATTAAACCTTGACCTTTCTGCCAGGTGTAGATCATTGTTTGGCTGAATTAGTTTTATGTTTGCTTCTTTCCTGTTCACGCTGGTTAATCTGTTTTCCTTCTCTTTCAGCTGGTGAAACTATGCACGACTATGATTGACACCGGCAAGAACTTCAACAATGCAACTGGGTAAAATACAGAGACAGTCAGATAAACACATTTGTTTTCTTCTTTTGGCATGTTCGAGGTGATTCAGTAGGACTTGCCTGAAACAGTGTCTGTGGCACATCATCCAACTCAATCTGTGCCCAAACTTTTGAGTCTTTTCAGTCTGAAAAAGTATTTTGGCATTATTTTAACTATGTGAGTCCGCGTTGGTTTGATTCTTTTATGTCTATTTGTTTTTGGGTTAGATTGCAATTCATCAGTATCATTTTGTCTCAAACGGACTGTAGGAGGTACAACAGTCGTAGCTCTACGATAACTTTGTGAAACGGGGCCCTGCCAGGGGTACTTATACTAGTGTTTCCCCCCAGAATCCAATTGGGCAGGGCGACAGAATTCCAAAAGGGGCACCCCTGTTTCAAAAAGGGTATATGGTGACAGATTTCCAAGTATTATGTTAAGTTATTCATGCATATGATTCTTTAAGGCTCAAAAGCACAGTTATTTCACTTAATTATTCAACATGAAATAGAAACTAAAAACAACCAAGTGTTAATATCGATTATTGTATAAAAAAAGGAAGAGAAGGCGCCAAATAAAAGGGGCCAACTATAGTGGACGGTTCTGCACCCTGCTAAAAATGCCTAGGGGAAACACTATATACTGACAGTAGTACTTACAAAGGGCAGGATCTTTTAAGAACTTGCATTTTTATACATTCAGTAGTGGCATGTGTGTGTACATATACTGTATAAAGATGAAATGATACAGAATTAAACATAAAATGACCATTGTCAGTTTTTCAAACCTTCATCTTGCTTTCCAAAATAGACTGTCAACTTTGTTTATACTGAACATGGTTAAACATTGTGAGTGAAGGTGGCAAAGTGGTTCAAAGTGTTAGATGGTCACTTGAAGGTCGATGTTCAGTTTCTATCAAAGGGACAATTTGGGATGGTAATTCTTGGTGTTCCCTCTAAGTTTTGTCTTGAAGATTGCTAAAAGTGTTAAACCCTGACTCGCTACCCATGAAAAGTTTAGACTCACCTAATGCACTCACTATATGTTATGTATATATATATATATATGGTTACATCAAAGATGAATTTCTCTACTAACTTGGGGGAACCAACTGCAAACCTCATGTAGATAAATTGCTCGAGGATCATGAATCAAATTGCTGAAAAGCATGTGCAAATATCGTGCATGTAAAAAGCTGCATTTTGATGTTAAGTTTTGTTAAGAATTCGCCAATTTTCACTGAGTTTCATCATTTAATGAACCCATGACAATAATCTTTTCAACATTACAAATTTGTTTTTCAATACATCAGTTCATGTGTAAACAGTACCTTTAAACAGTATGGACTATTTTGCAAAATCTAGTTTAGAACAGTTGACTGAAGTAAGTGGCTACATTTACACCAGTGAGTCTAAACTTTTGATGGGTAGTATATTTTGAATGTCTGTTCCAGTGGATTCATCACAGGTGTTCGAGATCTGGCGTCATATTTCCATGATGACAATTTGGTGTCGGTAAGTTATTTTTGACTCCTTGTTCCAACGCTGCTTACTGGGGTTGAAACTACTCACCAGAACCAGACTGAATAATCGATTTTTAATGATAAAGCCAAATCTTCTATTCTTTTTACCGTGTATACAACCAATATATGCAGGTAATCAAGAAAAAACTCTTAAAGACAGGTGAAAACGATGTTCAAAATTAAGCATGGATGTCAAGGTGTCCTTTGTGTCCTTGAATATTGTAAATTTAAAAGTATGGAGGCCTCTAGATTCATGTAGTGTAGATGAACACACAAAGGACCCCGCCATCTTATTTATTTTGAACATTATCTACAGAATGAAGTGCATCGTGATTTGCATTATTGAGTCGTGGTGGTGAGCTGTTTCAGCTTCAGTGCTTTTAGAATCTCTTGTCAAATGATTAGTTTAGATCTGCCAGTTTCCGTTTCATTGATAATTATATTGACCTGTCAGTGTAAGCTTCTTAACACTCACAGTTTTGCTTCAGTTTGTTGAAAGCTTCACAGATACACTCTGCTTCTAGAACAGATCCGTCATACGTTTTGCAAAACAGTATTCACCCCCAAAGTTTCCTTTCAAAATGTGTTGATCAAGTCTCGAAAAGTTGATTAATTCTAGACTAAAGACAACAACAGATGAATTTAGTTGATGTTGATAGATACAAGTCAATTAACCTTATCACTGTAGTATTAGTTTTTTAATTTTTCTGGCTGCTTGACGAAAATGAAATTATTCTTCAAATGCAGGATCTGTCTGCAGTGAAGAATTTGTTGTTTAGAGTTACCTCCCTTAGTAAAGCAATGTTTTGCTGATCATGTAATTAAACTTGAAACCAGCTTTTTTTTCAAGAAGTCTTTCAGGCACAAATCCACAATTTGTGGAAAAGCTTTTGTATTTCATATTTATTTTGAAAGGAATCTTATATTTGCCTTTTTAACTATCCCAATTTAAATTTGTGTTTCCATGGTTACTGATTTATTTGACATATATTATGTCCCACAGGATGATAGCAAAGTGTCTGTAAGTATCCATGGCAACCAGTTCCCAGATTGCTTGGTTTGCGAATTTCGTCATTTCCAGTGTGCATATTGAACCTCAAATGATTATGTCCAATGTCTTGGTGTGTGGAGTTGTGATGATTCCCTTCTTCCAATGAATGATTTACAATTATATTGTACTTAAGAACTACTTTCGAAAATTATGAATTTATTATCTTAGAATTTTCTAAAAGCTTTTGGAAGCATTTTACAAGCTGTAATATCAATGTTGACAGATCTGACGTTTGAATTTCATCTTCCTTATATTTGTAGTACAGTGTTCATTCACAGTTGCTGGTACCTTAATCAAGCCAGTGCAGAGATAATCTAAAATCATATCTAAGGGTGCCAGCACCTGTAACAACAATAGTAAACCTACTTGATAAAGTTACCAGCAGCTGTACTGAACAATTTGTACAGGGTGGATATTGGTATCAGCAGCTATACTGAACATTTTGTACAGGGTTTATGTTAGTTTGTCTCACAGTCCCTGAACCACATTATTTTCCCTACAGCCTAGTTTATTTGTTAAAATCAAAATTATATATAGTCAGAGACTAAGACTTAGTCTAGGTTGATATTGGTACCAGCAGTTGTACTGAACAGTTTGTACAGGGTGGATATTGGTACCAGCACCTGCACTGAACAATTTGTACAGGGTGGATATTGGTACCAGCAGTTGTACTGAACAATTTGTACAGGGTGGATATTGGTACCAGCACCTGCACTGAACAATTTGTACAGGGTGGATATTGGTACCAGCAGCTGTACTGAACAATTTGTACAGGGTGGATATTGGTACCAGCACCTGCACTGAACAATTTGTACAGGGTGGATACTGGTACCAGCAGCTGTACTGAACATTTTGTACAGGGTGGATACTGGTACCAGCAGCTGTACTGAACAATTTGTACAGGGTGGATATTGTTATACCTGGAGCTGTACTGAACAGTTTGTACAGGGTAGATATTGGTACCAGCAGCTGTACTGAACAATTTGTACAGGGTGGATATTGGTATACCTGGAGCTGTACTGAACAGTTTGTACAGGGTAGATATTGGTACCAGCAGTTGTACTGAACATTTTGTACAGGGTGGATATTGGTACCAGCAGTTGTACTGAACATTTTGTACAGGGTGGATATTGGTACCAGCAGTTGTACTGAACATTTTGTACAGGGTGGGTATTGGTACCAGCAGTTGAACTGAACATTTTGTACAGGGTGGATACTGTTACCAGCAGTTGTACTGAACATTTTTTACAGGGTGGATATTGGTACCAGCAGTTGTACTGAACATTTTGTACAGGGTGGATATTGGTACCAGCAGTTGTACTGAACATTTTGTACAGGGTGGATATTGGTACCAGCAGTTGTACTGAACATTTTGTACAGGGTGGATATTGGTATACCTGGAGCTGTACTGAACATTGTATGGAAACAGTAGGGATGTCAGATCTGTCTTCATCAATATCTGCTTGAGTCACAAGACCTGGATTTAGGGAGTGTCATGAAGTGGGAACAGTGGACTGTGATCATTATAGTGAAGATGATACATTTGTCATTCATTATCTGACATGCGTGATGGAAAGTTGAACACACCTTCCAGCTTTGGCATAATTTGAAATGTGTATAATTCTGTAGGTATTTTTCAAATTCTGGGATGATCTAATTAAGGTTGAAGTTTCAATTTGTTCCCAGGGAAATGTTATGTTATAGTTTAATACTCTGAAATTGATGTACCAGGTGAACATGTGCCTATATATGTAGGGTTACCCAGTGCTCCTTGACCCTTGATACTGTACAAAATCTTTAGATTTGCAGTCATTCTTGGTCAGTGTTGGTCAGTACTGTAGCTGAGCTGGTAAAGATCTAAGCCAAGCTTCACTTCCCTTCAGAATAAACTGACAATTCCTGATATACTGTTTAAAGTGGCATTAAGCCACATCGCTTTCTTTGTTGTTTCAGTGTAGCATTAATAACCATCACATCTGCACTTCAGCACCGTATGTGGTCCTCACAAATGGTATTAACACCAGCTTCATGCACATTTTGATTTAATATTGTAGCTGTTATTTTTAAAAATGCAGGATTTGAAAGGTGTGTCCCTTTGCACAAAGACACAGGTTCACCCCACAGGTTTAGTGAGGTATTTCCTAATTGTTTCCATCCAAACCAGTGCATGAAATTTAGCATGTCAATGGGTCCTTGTCCTGACACTGTTGTTAACAGTGAAAAAAATTTGGTTCCCTAGATTCCTATTCTAACTGGGCGGTGGGGTAGCCTAGTGGTTAAAGTGTTCGCTCGTCACGCCAAAGACCCGGGTTTGATTCCCCACATGGGTACAATGTGTGAAGCCCATTCCTTGTGTTCCCCACCGTGATATTGCTGAAATATTGCTAAAAGCAGCGTAAAACTAAACTCACTCACTCACTCACCTATTTCCAGCACTACAATTCACATCGACAGTTAGGACCAATTTGTGGAATGTTTACTGAATTCCTGGGGTTTTTTGGTACAAGGAAGCAGATCCAGGAGTTATTAATGCTACACAGAAATTAGACAGAAGGCTTCATAGGGACATGACTGCCTCTTCCATTATGGCGGTTTGTCTTTGTGGCAGATGAATGGCAACTGGAATCATTGTTTCTACTTTCTTGTGAAAAATCCACAGTTCCTCATTTCTGAACATTCTTGTATCCATGGCAACAGATTATCAAAAATGTGTACTGTGTCCTTTGCATGATAATGTCTTGTGCAAATAAAAATGAGCCTGATGATAAAATTATTGGAAAATTTTGTTGTCACTAATAAGAAAGTCTATCGAGTAAAATAGAACTTAGTACCGGTAGATATATTGAATTGTATGAACTCTTGGGGGAAGAGAATTATCCGCAGATCATCACCCCTCAGTGCATCATCACCTCAGGGGGACCCTCCCTCGGGATCCCCCTCAGACTCCGCCCCTCGGCAAGTGTCAAAAAGTGTCTATGTCCGCTCGGTACAAAGATCTGTCGAGTAGTTGAAAATGAGCACAATGTCCACAGATATGAAAAAAATTCCACGCAAAAGCAGCAATAATGGCATTATCTGTCGGCTTAAGATCCACTCTTCCTTCTGATCATTTTCAGAGATGCAAATTATAATGAAACATTATGTAGAAAACTTAAGCATATTTAACTGGTCATCGGGAGAAGTTTTGGCTTGTCATATCTATAATGTTTTGGCGTGTCATATACAAATGGATTTGTGTGGGCTTTTCAGATACAGGTTTTGATTCCCGTACCCTGGCAATCTGTGAATCTATTTTTGGTGTCCTGATCTCAATATAGATGGAATAATGCCAAAAGCACCATAAAATCATGCTCACTTGCATCACATTAAGTTGAAAACTCTGGACATTTTGATCATTTTCTTAGTTTGTTGGACCTGATACTACATTGTTCGACATGGCCGACCCTAACCTTCCCTGTAGTGTACAAAACATTCATGGCCTGCATCAAGGATCATGGTAGTCAGAAGTTGATACGTTATATATGATAGTACATTGTTCGACATGGCCGACCCTAACCTTCCCTGTAGTGTACAGAACATTCATGGCCTACATCAAGGATCATGGTAGTCAGAAGTTGATACGTTATATATGATAGTACATTGTTCGACATGGCTGACCCTAACCTTCCCTGTAGTGTACAGAACATTCATCGCCTACATCAAGGATCATGGTAGTCAGAAGTTGATACGTTATATATGATAGTACATTTTTCGACATGGCCGACCCTAACCTTCCCTGTAGTGTACAGAACATTCATCGCCTACATCAAGGATCATGGTAGTCAGAAGTTGATACGTTATATATGATAGTACATTGTTCGACATGGCTGACCCTAACCTTCCCTGTAGTGTACAGAACATTCATGGCCTGCATCAAGGATCATGGTAGTCAGAAGTTGATACGTTATATATGATAGTACATTGTTCGACATGGCCGACCCTAACCTTCCCTGTAGTGTACAGAACATTCATCGCCTACATCAAGGATCATGGTAGTCAGAAGTTGATACGTTATATATGATAGTACATTGTTCGACATGGCCGACCCTAACCTTCCCTGTAGTGTACAGAACATTCATGGCCTGCATCAAGGATCATGGTAGTCAGAAGTTGATACGTTATATATGGTAGTACATTGTTCGACATGGCCGACCCTAACCTTCCCTGTAGTGTACAGAACATTCATGGCTAACATCAAGGATCATGGTAGTCAGAAGTTGATACGTTATATATGGTACTGGATACTAACTTGATGAATAGCCTCTAAAAATGGTAGCAGTGTTTATTTAGTGAGAGGATAACCATTGACAAAATCATTTGTTTCTCCTGAAGATTATGCACACAATCACCCTTTTCTGTGTTTAGTTATTTCTTAGATAATTTAAGTGATTTGCATGTATTTTAATTCATTGTTCAGATACGAGGTGAATTTGTTATTTCAATAATATTCAAGCAAAGGTAAAAAATTCTGATTTTAAATTTTACCTAGAATTAGGAGACAGAAGCATATTTGGTTTAGTTTTGAGACTTCAGTAAAGTACAGAAGAGCTACTATGGCTTCTGTGGGTGAATATTTAGCAAGAAACTAAATGATACGGATACAGTGTATCATGACCTAGTTTTATTTGAACTCTATTGCCTAGAAGATATGATTATGCCAACACACTGTCCCAATTAAATTTGTGTTACCATGGTTACTGATTTATTTGACATATATTATGTCCCACAGGATGATAGGAAAGTGTCAGTAAGTATCCCTGACAACCAGTTCCCAGATTGTGACTGGTGCTAAGTTGTAGGTGATATCATAGACTAACGCTAGACTTGCTTTACTTAGGTTTTCAGCATTGCAGGGAGGGCTAGGCAATAGGGAATGTAATGTGGTTCAGGGACTGAGACAGACAGATATCATTGAGGGGAAACATGTGGCAATGACAGCCTCGGTTATCAAGTGCATGTCTCCATTAATCTGATACGATATTCATCCTGCTCCATTGGCCTCCATGTATTGTTTTGGGAGGAAGCTTTATACATCAACTACTGGCTCTTGTAAACTTGGATCTTCATTCAACTTGGTGCCTCAGATCAGTGAGCCCTTCATAAATTTACTCAAATGCTATCAGTAAAAATTCAAAATGTTTAAAGTAAAATATTTTGACACCAGTGCAGTACCTTCCTGCACGAAGATCTGATAATCCTGACACCATCAGGTGACAGTTCTATTTAGCTAAGTGTGACTCATGTCAATACTTTCCTGAGTATTAAGTAAAAGGAAGGAAAGCTCTTGTGCTGTCATGCATTGTACTTGAGAAGTCATGCAGCAAAGCATTTTGTACTGGTAATATCCTTGTACCATTCATGAAAGAACAGTGTAATGACATCACAATAGAGCATGGACACAGTACTGGATAATGGAGGCAGCAATGAGAAAGGATGTTAGATTGTATGAAGGCATGATTTTACGAGTGTTTCAGTCAACTCAACAAGTTATGCACGTCATGTTCCTGCTTTGTTTCCCTTGGTCAGTCTTCCTCAGATGAAAATGTCAAAAGCATTCATGATCCTTCTGTTTCTGTGTGTGTTTGTTGAAATTTGACATGATTTGATGAACAGGACATATTTTTGTACTGTTATTGTTAAGCTGTTAAATAGAACCATATGGAATCCATTAGACACTTTATGATGTTACGTACGGACAACTATCATCATGATCATTATATCCTTGTGCTTTTTGCCAGTTATTTCTTTTTAGTAGAGTAGAACCCTCTCCTGGTTGGGGCTCATCAAGGTCAAGGTCATGGTTGGAGGGGGTGTTTTATTTTATTCTAATTAGCTTTAGTTTGGTTTCTTTCATTTTTTATTATACCCCCGCTATTAACGGGGGTATATAGCGTTCATTCTGTCCGTCCGTCCGTCCGTCCGTCCCGAACCGAAACTTTGTCCGGAGCTTATCTCTTAAAGTTTACATGCTAGTTTCACCAAACTTCACACACATGTTAATCATTACCAATTGATGTGCCTTTTGCTATTTTAATTTTTTTTCAAAATTTTGTTTTATTGCTGTTTCCATGGAAACACGACTTAGTGCCAAATGTGTTTGGTGTTTTTTGTCCAGAGCATATCTCTTAAAGTTTACATGCTAGGTTCACCAAACTTCACACACATGTTAATCATTACCCATTGATGTGCCTTTTGCTATTTTAAAGTTTTTCAGAATTTGTTTTGTTGTTGTTTCCATGGAAACATGACTTGGTGCAAAATGTGTTGGATGGTTACCTGGCCACAGCATATCATCGAAACTATACATGCTAGGTTCACCAAACTTAGCCTAGTGGTTATACCATCTCACTGACATGAAGACCTGGGTGAGGTAGCCTAGTGGTTATAACATCTCATTGTCATGAAGACTTGGGTGAGGTAGCCTAGTGGTTATACCATCTCATTGTCATGAAGACCTGGGTGAGGTAGCCTAGTGGTTATGCCATCTCATTGACATGAAGAGCCTAGTGGTTATGCCATCTCATTGGTGAGGTAGCCTAGTGGTTATACCATCTCACCATGAAGACCTGTCATGAAGTGGGAGGTAGCCCTAGTGGTTATGCCATCTCATTGTCATGAAGACCTGGGTGAGGTAGCCTAGTGGTTATGCCATCTCATTGACATGAAGACCTGGGTGAGGTAGCCTAATGGTTATACCATCTCATTGACATGTCATGAAGACCTGGGTGAGGGTAGCCTAGTGGTTGCCATCTCACTGGACATGAAGACCTGGGTGAGGTAGCCTAGTAGTGGTTATACCATCTCATTGACATGAAGACCTGGGTGAGGTAGCCTAGTGGTTATGCCATCTCATTGACATGAAGACCTGGGTGAGGTAGCCTAGTGGTTATGCCATCTCATTGACATGAAGACCTGGGTGAGGTAGCCTAGTGGTTATGCCATCTCATTGACATGAAGACCTGGGTGAGGTAGCCTAGTGGTTATGCCATCTCATTGACATGAAGACCTGGGTGAGGTAGCCTAGTGGTTATACCATCTCATTGTCATGAAGACCTGGGTGAGGTAGCCTAGTGGTTATACCTCATTGTCATGATGAAGACCTGGGTGAGGTAGCCCTAGTGGTTATACCCATCTCCAGTAGCCTAGTGTAGCATCTACTGTCATGGTTATACCATCTCATTGTCATGAAGACCTGGGTGAGGTAGCCTAGTGGTTATACCATCTCATTGTGATGAAGACCTGGGTGAGGTAGCCTAGTGGTTATGCCATCTCATTGACATGAAGACCTGGGTGAGGTAGCCTAGTGGTTATGCCATCTGACATGAAGACCTGGGTGAGGTAGCCTAGTGGTTATGCCATCTCATTGTCATGAAGACCTGGGTGAGGTAGCCTAGTGGTTATACCATCTCATTGACATGAAGACCTGGGTGAGGTAGCCTAGTGGTTATACCATCTCATTGTGATGAAGACCTGGGTGAGGTAGCCTAGTGGTTATACCATCTCATTGTGATGAAGACCTGGGTGAGGTAGCCTAGTGGTTATACCATCTCATTGTGATGAAGACCTGGGTGAGGTAGCCTAGTGGTTATACCATCTCATTGTGATGAAGACCTGGGTGAGGTAGCCTAGTGGTTATACCATCTCATTGTGATGAAGACCTGGGTGAGGTAGCCTAGTGGTTATACCATCTCATTGTGATGAAGACCTGGGTGAGGTAGCCTAGTGGTTATACCATCTCATTGTGATGAAGACCTGTGTTTGATTTGGTGCTGTTTGGGAATCATGGTGATCATCTACGGGATTTTGCTTCAGTACTGCAAACAATTAACTGCAAAGAGCATCACATTTTGTTTGCTTATTGAGCTTTGCAGATACCTATGACCTTTGCAAACCTTTTATTGTCATAGTATTGTTTTCATAGAATTGATGCATCGCTTTCTGAGAGCAGTTTTCTGAGGTTTGCTTCTTCAGGGGAGATAAGCATGTCAGAACCATAATTTTATCTCCCTTTGATCACGTAATGGCACTCTGAATTGAAAAAGTCAGTCCAAAATGGTTCAGTCCACATTTGTTGGCATGTTTAAACTGCGGTGAAGTAGATCTTATCTGAATGACACTGATATTTACTATGACTCTCTTATGGTAGCCCACTGCCTCGCCATCTAATTAGTGACGCGCATGAATGGATTAACGAGATTCCCACTGTCCCTATCTACTATAACCTACTATTATAGTTTCCATCATTGACATGGACCCTTGTGCATCATAATTGTCCTGATCAGACTATGGGGACTGGGTGAACACAGGCATGTAGAGTACTGAATGGTTTACAGACGTCTTCATCTGTTCATCGGCGTCTTGTCTCTGTCACACTATATTAGTGTGTATCAGACTGCCACCATAGTCTTGCATGCATGCAGACACACTCTGTCACTCTTGCATGTCTTGCACAGTGCAGGTTATATGTCTTGACCCCATGAATCTATTTTGAATGCATCTTGTATGTACTGAATGTTTGCATAGTTTAGATTTGCATTTTTTCACCCTATTATATCTTATAGCCCAGAGGCTGATGGCTTCTTAAAGAATATTTTGATGTTGATTTGTTGTGATACGTGTGATATTTTGTCCGTTGTAACACATACCCACAACAGCCTGGTTTCATGGTGCCTCTGTAGGGATTCCAGACTAGAATTGGTACAGTTGGATTTCCTCTGAAAAGAAAGACCACCCATAAAAAGAAAAAAATTAATAAGGCCAGACCAATTTTATTTCTTGTTTTACAGATTTTTGTCCTCAGTAAACCTAAAGGCAGGAGGGATAAAAATTAAAGATAAAAATCACTGGTCAAAATAATTTTCCTTTTAAATGCTAAAAGTTTGTTTTATTTTTGGCAATTTATTAAGTTTATATGGGGCAAAAAAACAATAAAAAATTATTTATTTTTTTGTAATAAAAACATGAGGATTTGACTTTTTGAGCGGGGAAAATTGATTTTTTTTTATTTTTCTTATTCTTGAAAAAATATGACCAGCGGATCCGTAAAACAAGAAATAAAATTGGTCTGGCCTAAAAACAAAAAGAACATTGATTTTTTCCAACCCAACTAAACCATCATGGTGTTCTGACTGTGATGATGTGTTGGTTTCCCATGATAGCATGAGTCACTACTCATATCAACCTTGGCTTGATTGTCAGGTGCAGGCTTAGTTGTTTACTTGTCTGTGATATAGCTGAAATATTGCTTTGTGCAGCATCAAACATATGCTAAGTACACAAACTTACAAACGTACATACAAACCAGCTACATATTGTATGTTCACCCTCTGTTCTTCCTCTCTCCCCTATCCCGTTCCATCTGTTTACAGAATGACTCTTATAACAATAGAGAGGGTAGAAAAAAATGTACATTTTTTCACATATTTTATTTGTTTTACAACTTGTTCTACAAACATAATTGATGTGTTTTGTATGAGACTTTGTTGTTTTCAGGCTTCCCTTAATCGGTTTGCTCATGCCATGTCTGAGATGCTCAAATATTTCACAGTGAGTTTTTGTTATTCTTAAACAAAATGTCAGCAGTTAATTCCGTTATTTCATAATCAAGTAGCACGATAGCTTGTACATTGATACTCCTCACAGTACTTGAGTCTCCATGTAGTGTGTACATTAACACTGATGTTCCACCTCCCTTTGTTCATAGTATACATTTTGCCTGTAGCTGTGATAATGCTCGCTGGCTACAACAACCTTACTCTCACAAATATTTTGTATCATCTAACATTATCTTCTAGTTTTCCTAAAACATGTTGCTTCACAGTTCTTTAATTTCCGGGGCGGTGGGGTAGCCTAGTGGTTAAAGCGTTGACTCGTCACGCCGAAGACCTGGGTTCGAATCCCCACATGGGTACAATGCGTGAAGCCCATTTCTGGTGTCCCCTGCCGTGATGTTGCTGGAATATTGCTAAAAGCGGCGTAAAACCAAACTCAGTCAGTCAGTCTTTAATTTCCTATTTGCAGATACTCATGGACCAGGCTCATCGATCTGTGTGCAAAAATCTCAACAATTTCATCAAAAAGTAAGATGTAGTTCTATGAAGAAATTCTTTAAAAGGCATTTAGAATTGTCTTGTATTAAATCTTTGAACAAATTTGTTAAATCCAGAAGCAAAATATTGTTCTCCGTATACCTACAAATTGGATGGTCAGGATCACTAACTTGGTTGACACATGTCATTGGTTCCCCATTGTGCAGATCGATGCTCATGCTGTTGATCACTGGATAGTCTGGTCCAGACTCGATTATTTAGAGACCGTCGCCATATAGGTTGAATATTGCTGAGTGCGGCTTAAAATAAACTCACTCACTCACTGTCGTAAGAGGCGACTGTCGGGATCGGGTGGTCAGGTTTGCTCACATACGTCATCATATCCCAGTAGCATATATGACCGCCTCCGTGGTGTAGTGGTGAGAGCGTCTGCTCGGAGAGCGGAAGGTCGCGGGTTCGATCCCCGGTCGCGTCATACCAAAAGACGTTAAAATATGGTACTTGTTGCTCTCAGTCTGGCCTCGGCATTAATGGGTACAACAAGGACTGGTTGGCTCAGAGTCAGTATAATGTGTCTGAGTGGGGTATTCATGCTTCACTGCGGCATGGTATCTCAGTGGGCTAGCACTATAAAACCAGCTTAAGTCTGGGCTAGTACAAGCAGCCGCACATACACATACACACGCATGCACGTCGTCATATGAGGGAAATATTCTCAAGTACGACGTAAAACCCAATTTGACCTCACCTCAGTAGCATATATAGATACTCATGTTGTTGATCACTGGATTGTCTGTGCAGACTCGATTATTTACAGACCGCTGCCATATAGCTGAAATATTGCGTGTGGCGTAAAACTAAACTGATTTCTTAAGTTCTTTGAGGTATAAATCTGAAAACTGATGTGGACATTTTGCCTAAATCCAGATATATTTACAAATAGTTAGTTTTCTTTCCAATGTTTATACTTCCATTATGGAAAAAATCAAAAAGACGTTGTTAATATTGAATGTTTGTGTATGTCCAGTAAACATGTGAACATGTGAGTATACAGATGTATGGATCATAGAAGATGATTACAGTCTGACATCGTCATATGAGCAAAATATTCTCAAGCACGACGTTAAACTCAATTTCACCTCACCTACAGTCTAACAGTCTAACATGTGTTCCATTGATTCCAGTGACATCAAGAAGGCCAAAGAAACAAAGAAGCATTTTGAGAAGATTAGCGACGACATGGACAACGCATTGTTACGGAATTCCCAGGCCTTGAAGAGCAAGCCCCAGGAGTGTGAGGAGTCCCACAACACACTGACGGCCATGAGGTCCTGCTTTGCCCACACCTCGCTAGACTATGTGTTCCAGGTCAGTGTTCATGCATCTTGTCACGAGTCTAGGGGATATTGTGTCTAAGGCACTGCTATACACTTTGTAATTTCCAAATTCATACAAATTTCATTATGCAACACTAATGCCCCCATCAGGTTGCCATATATTTAGGTCAAATCACCCCTCTTTAGAGGGGCTCATGTGTCACATATGCATTATGTAGTAAAGCTTCTTTTTTTAAATTTTTTTTTTAAGTATTTTTATTTCCCATCAGTATGTTGTACATCACATTTCAGAATCAAATGCAATTTTTACATGTTATAAAATACAGTTTTTGCGTTACACACCACTTTCAAGCGATATACATATCACATTTTACAGTATTGATTTCTGCTATTTTCAGTTTTGTAAACACAGTCGTATGTATAGTTATAAATCTGCGTAGTTGCAGTGATCATGAATCGTATTCATTGCTTAGCTGATACATAATAGGGACACTATTCCATATACATACGTATACTTCATCTATATATACCTTAAGTGCATGTACATATGCGTTCATATATACTTCTACACACATACATATATTTATCTACGGACACATACATACACATGTAGTAAAGCTTGTCGTTGTCGTCGTCATCGTCATCATCATCATCATCATCATCGCCATCATCATCTGTGTAGAGTTGTGTCCCTTATGCACGTCCAGAACCTATGATCGGATTTATTATGCTTGACAGCACCATATATAGCCATGCTTGTGGGTTTCACTGAAGTGGTAAATGTTGTGTCACAAGGGACTGCAAGACCACTGTGATGCAATATCATTGTGATCTCACCTATAAAGTTTATTTTTCCTTATCCTGACTCATGCTCTTTTGCTTGTCTCCTTCCTCTTGCAAACATAGTGGAAACACTTGTATCTCCCTAATTGAAGTTCCCTTCAATGTAAAATCACTAATTAGCATTCACCACGAGTTACCTCCCTTCCACAAGCGCGGGAACGAGGGCGCCACCTCTACCCATGTGCCTCACTCTCTCCTTCTTCGCCCAGTGAGCTGGACGTGAGAGCGCCTGTGTCTCCCGACACTATATCCTTTGATTTATATTTAGTTAGTTACCTCGTATAGACATCTATAGAGGTTTAGCTAGTATCCTTCAACGATTATATATTGATATTTAATCGTTTTTCTACAGTTTATTCACGGGATGCCGTGTTTGTTTCAGTGTATTACGTTGATAAAAATTCTGTACTATTGCAGATTACGTTTTTTATTCTGCTGCTGATCCGCCTTAGTTGTATTGCGCCATGTTCATTTTATTCACGTTGCAGTTGCGGTACTAATTTATCAAATTCTACCCTTTATTAATATTTACTTTGCGTTTGAGACGCGCAGCAGATAGGTCGCGTATGCAGAGTCTAGTATGACTGATACACCTGAACCCCTCGCCAGTCTACTGCTGTTGGCCGACCCCCAACGTAGACATCACCCAAGAGGCACCCCCCGTCAACGTAGCAGCCAGGACGATGTCACCTTCGCGAAGGAAGTCACAGACCACCTTGATGAAGGACCTAGATGTACAGCCTTCGCGAAGGACTTCGTGAAGGCGAGATAGATCATCGCCTTCTTCGGTTTCATCCCTAGATGTGGATTCGGACCATCAGACATCACGGAAGCCTTCGCGAAGGTCATATTGTCGTTCCCCCGGACCGGACGCAGAGAAAGCTACGCGAAGGTATTCGCGAAGGACACCTGAATCCAGATCATCATCATCTAGAAGGACATCGAGGGACTACACAAGAGCTTCGCAAAGCTATCAACGTTCTCCTCACAAGTCTCCGAGAAGATCAACCCATAGACAAGTTGATCATCGATATCAAGAATAAGAACTACAATTGTAATTTGGTTCAGTTGAATCCATGACGAGACGTATGTTCTCTGGCCTAAATAGATCTAGAACGATCAATAAGACACTTATCACCAGACTTCGTAACACGACTTCTGAAGATAAGATGATCCACTCGGCCCTACTTATGCACAACCAGCAAGTCCCAGGCCGCCTCCGAGAAGGAGCTAGAGCCTAACCAGCTACAAGGGACATCGCGGAGGAGTAGCGCTTCGCCGACCCCACATCCTGTTTAACACAGAGGCCGTTCGCGAAGCAAGCGCTCATATATATATATATATATATATATATATACTAATCGGGCTTTGACTCGATACCTTCGCGAAGGTCGCGAAGGCTAAGTGGCTGCAAGTCTACTTCACCCAGAAAATCTAGAAGGGATACTTCGAGAGCTTCGCGAAGTCTCCGGGATTCACCGAGGAAGTTTCCTCCAAGGTCTCCATATACTAGCCACTCGTCATATATAGCTACTCGTCAGTCCATTCAACACATCGCATAAGTTGTCTATCAACTGTATGCCAGATGCCGTTTATAAGCCTACGCGAAGACAATTGCACAGGCTATTTACAACACAGAACGTCGCTGTATTATTTAGTCAACGACGTTTCATAGATCTTCACAGAAATCAACTATTCCATATAAATTGCTAGAATATGCAATCCCGGACGACGATACGATTATCTACATGCGTGACCATTACGCATATCTGCAGACAATTCAATATCGAAATTGAACAGCAGTCTTGTTACAGCGAGTATAACTCATAATCGTCAACGTTTCTGAGAAGAAATATGTACAAGTTCAGCTTTAATTCTACAATTATGACGATACATTCATGTATACAGTCTACAAGCTGACAACTTGCAAGTTTATTGTACCTTTATATAAGGAAGTCGGAATTATATTCAAAACTGAACTTACTTTCACGACAGCCAGGAAAATAACCTACCCAGCATTAATATTACAGAGCGAGGTATTTCGCGCCGAAGGTTTCGAGCGCGTTTCCACTAACCCTCGAAACACGTGGTCACTCGGGTAACTTCGGGAAGCTACGGTGAAGACCGACGTTTATGCTAATATCAACGATGGCAAGATTTTATACAAGGTTTTTTTCCTACTACACCGGTGACATCACAGCGCGGGTATTATACAGAATCAAAATGCCTTCTTCTGATTGGACCGCGATGGACAACGCCCTACGTAGAGGTCGATCTTAGTTCACAGTGCAAGACTTACGTCACAAGTGACAACTATATATCAGTGAACGAGCAAGCCTCCTTACAGTCCAGTTAACCTGAACCTTCATGATTAGGCTGCTTTCTTCAGGTTAGAGACCTCTGTCAAGTTAAGACGAGGGCACGGCAGTCAGGCGATTTTTCATAAAGTTCACGAGGACAGACACACCTGGTTGAGAACCTACGTCGTCAAGGACTTCGCAGCGAATTACCTAGACGACGGGATACAAGTGGATCTAAATCCACAGCGTCTCAGACTACAGCTGAATTTCATCATCAAGCTACTAACACAACTGGATGGTTAGTAACCTACTTAAGCTTTCTGATGGGAGAATTAAAACGGAAGTTTCACACTCCAACTTGGGGATCTGAATATAGTGCTCCAACACCTCACAAGTGAGGTTTATGAACACGCATGGATGACATACTTGGGCTCCATGATACGATGATTCTATCACGATGGCCAGCAAGAGCACTGTAAATTTATCTCCACCGAACCAAACAGGAAGGGAAGATGCAACAGATTATTTCCTCTATCATCAACTTAGGCAGAATGAAGTCTCACGTACTATATCTCCGTTTGGATCAGAACTGTCATACTATGTGCATACAAGACGGATGGACCCAATCCGACCCTCCATGAGCTTTTAATACTCATGATATTAGAGCGTTAACTTCTACAATTGATCTACACTAATGTTATTTGGAATAATGGAGGGTTTATTTCTGGAGATCCGATATGGTGGTTGCCAACCATTATCTGAGAGATATCACCACTGAGGACGTCTCAGGTATCCACCAATTCGATCCCATGGTCCTCGCACAACAATTGACAGTTCCTCGGAGAAGATAAGTCAATTTTACAGTTTTCTACTTATCTTATAACAGTACTAAATAGCTACATGCTATTTTGCTTAAGTTCCTTTTATCATCACAGTACTATCATTATTACATCATACAATATATAAGTTAACAACTCTACAGAGTTTGTTATTATATATTTACCTTAAGTTAATCATATCTTAAGAGTAGTACTATGGTAACATGATAAATGCATTAGCTAACAAACTTTACAGAGTTTTTTTGGCTATTATATACGTAGCTTAAGTTAATTATACCTTAAGCATAGTACTATACTCATATTATAAAAATATATATTCGCTAACAAACTCTACAGAGTTTTGCTATTATATAGGTAGCTTAAGCTTATTCATATCTTAAGCTTAGTACTATGTTATACCATATAAGTATATTAGCTAACAAACTCTAAAGAGTTTTTGCTATTGGGTTTAAGTGTCATATTCTAAGCAATATGGCTATTTTATAACATGTATTAGCTAACAAACTCTACAGAGTTTTTGCTATTATATATGTAACTTAAGCTTATTCATATCTTAAGCGCAGTACTATGTTTATATTATATAGGTATATTAGCTATCAAAACTCTAAAAGAGGTTTTTGCTATTATATATTTGGCTTAAGTTTTCATCATATTTTAAGCTTTATGGTTACATTATAACATGTATTAGCTAACAAACTCTACGGAGTTTATTTTTGCTATTATATATGTAGCTTAAGTTTTCCTTCATAAGCTCAATACTAAGTTTATATCATATAAGTATTTTAGCTAACAAACTCTAAAGGGTTTTGTTTTTGCTATTATACAATTAGCTTAAGTTTCATTATATCTTAAGCAGTATGTTTACATTATAAAATGTATTAGCTAACTGCTATTATATATATATAGCTTAAGTTTAATCATATCTTAAGCTCAGTACTATGTTTATAACATAAAAGTATATTAGTTAATAAACTCTAAGGAGTTTTTTTTTGCTATATACATTTAGCTTAAGTCTAATCTTATCTTAAGCTTAGTACTAGGGTTACATTATAAATCTATTAGCTAATAAACTCTACAGAGTTTTTGGCTATTGTACATGTAGCTTAAGATAATTATATCTTAAGCACAGTACTATACTCATATTATAAAATATATTAGTCAACAAACTCTACGGAGTTTTGCTATTATATATGTAGCTTAAGTTAATTATATCTTAAGCACAGTACTATACTCATATTGTAACAATATATTAACTAACAAACTCTACAGAGTTTTGCTATTATATATGTAGCTTAAGTTAATTATATCTTAAGCACAGTACTATACTCAAATTGTAAAAATATATTAGTTAACAAACTCTACAGAGTTTTGCTATTATATATGTAGCTTAAGTTAATTATATCTTAAGCACAGTACTATACTCATATTGTAAAAATATATTAGCTAACAAACTCTACAGAGTTTTGCTATTATATATGTAGCTAAAGCTTATTCATATCAGCATTATATCTATATCATATAAGTATATTAACTAACAAACTCTAAAGAGTTTGCTATTTTAATTAGCTTAAGTTTAATCATATCTTAAGCTTAGTACTATGTTTATATCTTAAAGTATTTTAGCTAACAAACTCTAAGGAGTTTATACTAGCATTTTAACAAGCTTAAGTCTATTAGTCTTAAGCATTGTATTAATGTTATATATACTTTATCATAATAAGTACATTGTAATAACCTTTATATGGCAGCTGATAAGTTAGCAGCAGGAATTCATCAATTCAGTGCCTTTATGAAGTTCCTATAGGGTTATTACAATCATCACAGTTCAAATCACTAATTATTAAAAATCCAAAGTATATATATTCCCACCTCCTTTCCATCGGATTCTACAAGCAAAAGAGCATGAGTCAGGATAAGGAAAAATATGTAATTTTTAGAGTAAAATTGATATTTTATACTTATCCTGACTCATGAGGTCAGCCCTCCCATCCTCCCCACATAACACTTTGGATTTCCCTGTAAATTCAAATGTTGGGCTCAGTATATGAGGAGAGAGTGAGGCACATGGGTAGAGGTGGCGCCCTCGTTCCCGCGCTTGTGGAAGGGAGGTAACTCGTGGTGAATGCTAATTAGTGATTTTACATTGAAGGGAACTTCAATTAGGGAGATACAAGTGTTTCCACTATGTTCGCAAGAGGAAGGAGACAAGCAAAAGAGCATGAGTCAGGATAAGTATAAAATATCAATTTTACTCTAAAAATTACATTATTTTAGCACAATCACTTTCTCATTTCAATCATTTTCTGTTATGAGTGACCTGTTACTCTTTCAGATTAATGTTCTCCATTCGAAGAAGAGGTTTGAAGTACTCGACACAGTGAGTATAATCATCATAGGTACACAATCTGAAGTGTTACACAGGCAGGCTGTTATACTTAACACAGAGCCGTCGTTGTCATATGAACCACCAAAAATTGATTTATGAAATCCAATTTTGGTTATGACATACATTAAAAACATATTTTTAGATTTGATAAGCTTCTGAAGAATACGTATTATTTTAAATATTTCGTCTTTTGTCATATTAAACATCAAAATGTTAATTGGGAATTTATAAATTCAGATTTTGTTATTATTATGTTTAAAACATGATTTGTTGTTTTTCCAGATGCTGTCTTTTATGCACGCACAAAATACATTCTTCCACCAGGGAGACGATCTGTTCAGTGATTTAGAAAAGTACATGAAAGATGTTGCCACACAGGTGAGTTGTCTCCCTTGACCAGTGTGCCCTTAAAAGGAAAGTATGCAAATCAGTTGTGAGTAAATTAGATATATATGTGCCCGTCCCATATCTGTTTTGGGGGATACACAATATTAGTAAAACTGATGTCACCAGTGTAACCAACTTAAGTCTGTGTAAGAGTGAGTATGGTTTTACGCTGTTTTTAGCACCATTCCAGCAACATCACGGCGGCTGTGACAGAACAAGGTGTTATTGTCTTAGTGCCAAGACAATCCATTCTAAATAGCATCTTGGTGCTATAGCTATCTTAAATTTAATGTAAAGATAGGGACTTATAGTCCTCTTAGTACTAAGTTCTCATTATAATAGAACAGGGCCGAGACTGGTTTGGGCACTATTACTCATGGAAGTTGATCATGAAGTGACGAGTTAAAATTGTCAAATGCAAAGTTTGCTCTATGGAACAGGACTTGTGTAAATAAGTGGAAATGTTTGTGACGGATAGCTGTCCATGTGATGTTGACAAGTGGATACATAAAAAACCATGACAAGTCAATCTGTAAAACACGATGGCGTCTGTCTTGGTGTTCCAGGTGGAAGAATTGAGTTCTAAGGCCAAGGTGGAACGCAAGGAGATGGAGGAACGTCACACGCTAGTACAGAAAATGGTGAGTACTGTATACATATCATCATTAGAGAAAGTCTCCAGACTACCCTGTAAGGGAAAACTAGATCCCAGTATCCCATGTTGGTCTCCATGTTGAGATTCCATTACAGAGTAGGTCTCAATTACCTCTTGCTCAGCCCTAAGAGAGGTTGATCTCCTTTGGGATTCCTGATATATCAAGCTGTCAATTGAGGATTGGGTGGTTACGTTTGTGGCCCAGGAGCTTGTGTGTCATTGTGCCCCAGCAATGGGGCTGGTGTTCATGATTACGACCACTGGTTTATAGCAAAGGGTCAGTTATATTCAGGTTTCCGTGATACAGCTGAAATATTGCTGACTACAGCATAATACAACACAGTTACATTCATATGAATATGAATTTAGACAGGGAATGAAAGAGGCTGGTGTACTAATGGAAACAAATGGGGAATGCATACTGTGAATCAGTATATCAGGGTTTTACGCAATACAGAAATGTCAAGGTAAAACCCTGTCACATTGTTTAATATGTATTCAGTCCATAATAAAACTTCATTTAAAAACAAGGATGGTAATGTGATTAACTTGTGTTGATCAACGTCAACGTCACTTGGAATATCTAATCAAATTAATGCTTCCATTTGCATCTGTTCCCTTACTTTTTTCCATCAGTATATAAATGAGACAAAGCCTCTTAAAGGGACGAGAGTCAAGTTCTTGTTTTAAAGACTTGTTTAGAATCTGCATGTGTGCACACTTGTAACATATGTTTGTATTTTCGCACAGTGTTGTAAAGCTCTGATTCAAGTTGTTGTGATTTATGAGTAGATAATTTAATGTATGACGGTAATTGCATGTTTACATTACAAAAGAACACAATTCATAGCCTGACACATACACAAACTCATCTTCTCTTGGTCTGTTCTCTGAATCCTGTTGGTTGGGATATGAGGGGTGGAATGGCGGCTGTGTTATGTGCAAGGACAGCCGACACAGACGCTGTGGCTGGCATTAGGGAGGAGGAGTTTGAATCTCATACAGTTTTAATGATACTTCAAGCAGTGATATAAACTCTGGCAGACTGGTTCCATATTCCCATGTAAATCCCTGAGAATTCCATTGGAATTCCTGACATGGCTTGTTTTTATTTTCAAACAGTTTGGTGCTAACTCTGAAGGTTTGTGCTCCAATAAACTCACACATAGTGTGTCAAATGACATTGTCTTTTACTGGACACAACTGTCACTATGAACCCGATAACAGGGCTGCACAAAATAATAATTCCTTCACAAAACTTTCATGGCATTTGTAGAAATCCTTAAGGTTTTTGAAGGGGAGATGCTATTGTTATCGCAGCCTGTTTGTCGATAGTTTTCAAGGAAGTGGACTTCTGTTAAAATCTGAAGATTGAAGTGTGATGACAAATGAAATACCGTAATTCCTCAAATAAGAGACCGTTCATAATTTATTGCACGGGGGGATGATGATTTTAAGGAGGGGTCACCCATTTTGTTCTGAGGAGCTAGGGGGTCAGCAGTTTTGTACACACATACTAGGGGGTCAGCAATTTAGTACATAAAAATATGTTTAAAATTATTCTTAGAAATTATGGTAAGGGGATGGGGGTCATTGGTTTTGTACATGACATGCAGGCAGGGGTCACTTATTATGTACATAAATTTTGGGGGCATTCACATTGTACATGCTTCTCCATAAAATCATCATCATCGTCAAACACACACACACACACACACACCAGCCATAAATTATGAACGGTCCCGAAGTGCCTGAGCACTTATTTTTTTAACGGACTTCCAGCCCTGGCCCTTCTTAGAGGCCTGACACTTTTGAGCTTACTAGGTGTAATTACCGTAATTGTTTGGGATTTGCACGTTACCACCGGCACTTATTAGAGGAAATACGGTACATGTATTCAGGTTATAATGTAACAAGTGGCATTCTTAAGATTTTCAACAATTATGACTATTGTTTGGGGTGTGGAACAAAAGAAAAGTAGTCTGATTGTTTTGTTATAGTTTTATTACAAATACACAAAGCTTCTACATACATTTGAAAATAAGTCGTGCATCTACAACGAAACATGTCAAGCAGTTATTCTGGTGGTTGAGATATATCTGAGATATTTTGTTATTTCTCAATTTATGACTTTATGAAAGAGTGATAAATTCAAATGATCTTGAATTAATGGGTGTTTATATTAAAAGGGTATTGTAAAAATGCAACAAACATTTTCTAAACATGTACTTCAGCAAGATTATTTCAGATGGGTATTATAGAATGATTATTTCAGACAGGTTTTTCAGAAAGATTATTTCAGATTGGTATAATGTCAGCAAGATTTTTTCAGACAGGTATTACAATCACATATTAAATTAAGCAATAATTTCTGCCAACAACTAATGACTTTTATGTTGCCCACTGGACTGTTTTAACCGTTAACAGCAAGAAGGTCAAATGAGCGGAAGTGATGACCTTCCAATATTCAACTTGGCTATTTGTGTCTGCAGAGATGTGTGTGTGGCAGCAGTGGTAATGGTCTGTGAATGCAAGGATACTGGGTGTGAAGGTTTCTCATGAAGTATTCTGATCAAGGTGCTAATTTCCAAACCAACAGCCTCAGCATCTATCTCCCACTCCTAGGTGTGACTCACCTGTCAGAGTAAATATCTTCATCAACAACCTCTCTCTAGCGGTGGGATAACATGGACTTATTTGGGACATACTCTTGTTTTAAGATGACATTGGTCAAGTTTGGACAGTTTGAAAATATGAACCAAATTGTTTTTTGAAAATTTACTTTTGTTTTCATTTTCATCAACATTTTAAGAGTTTTTGAAAGGATGTATGTGTCAAATCAACCACCACATTGTTTTCTTTCCTGTTGACCTCCTTCTCTTCAGCAGTTCTAAGGAAGAAGGTATTTGATTGGGCCTACAATGCCAGATACTATAAATGTATCTACAATCCTCGTCTTTGGATAAACATCCATCCAAATTCTCTCATAAGAGCTGTAAACAATGTTCTGTCTATAAAACAAATGTTTTAATTATTGCAAAAAAGTATTTCAAAATATATTTTTCTTCACAATTGCTAAGATCTAATCACCTGTCTGTTACCTCAAGTATGTCTTTCTAATAGTGGGCATCCTGAGCAAACATAGACTTGCAAAGAGTTGTCCCGATATGTTGGTATTATTCATGCATAGTCAATATTTCAGGTAGTCGCATCTAGGAATACCCAAACAACATGTCTGTAATTTTGAAATTGAAGAATGAATAATGTTTTTGTGGAATAATACTTGCTATCTATTTCCATCTTGAGGGTCAAATGTCTCTGTTCTGGTTCATCACAAGCTCTTGGTACCTTGTGCATGCCGACATCACCACACAGTATCGGTGATCTAGTACATGAGTTGATTCAAGAATCTTTCTTGCATATTGTGGTAGAAGTTCTTTTCACTACTGGTACCACCGTACCCTGGGTATTTGTATCTCAGACGTGACTTCATAGATCCATATTACTTGATAACTAGTCAAAAATCCATCTTCATCGGTCCTCAGATGTGATCGATGAGACCATGTTCTGTCTCATTTCATCCGAAGTATCCAGTAACTATTCCACAGTTCCACTTGAATTCGCCATTTAAGTGAAATGATCTCTAAAACCATGTCCTATCTCATTTACATAGGTCATTAGAATGAATGCAGAGACTATACTCTGCCTCATTTGAAAAGGATTTTGGAACTGTATTCTGTGGATTATATGTTCAGTACATGGTACTGTTATAAGAATCCATCATCAATCGTTAAAAGTGTGATGGTTCCATATGCCCAGTGTCTTTTAAGCTGACACTGCTGCTGCTGCTCTGTTCCTGTTCCTGTTTCTGTTCCTGTTCCTGTTCCTCTTTCGGCTCTTTCCATATCTCCTCACCCTGTCATCCTCTGTCTTTCGGTGACGCCTCTTTCTTCGACGTTTCTTCTCAGTCTTCTTTCGCCTTCTGTTCCTCGGACGCTTTCCTCTTTTGTTGGCTGCCCTGTTTTTTGGAGACCCTTTGACGTCTGCCTACACGTTGAGGAGCTTTTGTTGTTGTTGCCTCAACTTTGGATGTTACAGGAGCTGTTGTTGTTGTTGTTGCTGCTGCGGCTTGGGTTTGTGGGTTCGCTACCCTGTGTGCCGGGTTGAGGCCTTTACGTCGGTGATTAATTTTCTCAACTTTCTCAACTTGCACAACTTTCAACTTCTGGACAGGTTCTTCAGTTTTCTCTGGAACCTCAACTGTCCTTCTTTCAGCTTCTTGCACTGGTGGAGGGGGAGGTAACTCTTGTTTTACTTCTACATAATCTGACTCTGGAACATCTTTGAGCAATTTTCCTTTGTTTTTTTCTGGTTCTTCACATTGAGGCTCTTCATAAGCAAAGAATTTCACATCTGATGCTTTCATCCACCGTGCCAGCCAGAGAAGTCGGTTGTCACAGTTCAGGATATTGCCATCAATGGACAGAGCCTGTACCTTAGGGAAGACTCTCTGTAAAGAAGGTGGAAGGGTCTGGATGTCATTGAAGGTCAGATCCACCTCAGTCAGGTGATGCATGACTGGTGTGTCATCAATGATCTGGAGTAGCTGCAGAGCAAGACTCTGACTGCCCATCAAGCCTAGCTTCTCAAGTTTGGGCATTTCTGGAAGGAAGTTGTCCTCCAGGGAGAAGTCATCTGAGGGAGGAATGTAAGACATGTAAAGGGATGTGAGGTTCTCCAGATTTTTAAAAGCTCCAGTCTCAATTTTGTTGATTGGGTTGTTTGACAGGGTGAGGGTGGTGAGGTTTCGTACGTTGTCGAACATGCCTTTGGTGATGGTTGATATTCCATTGCCTTGAAGGTTGAGATATTTCAGAAACCTTAATCTGGACAGGGAACCAGCCTCAATTGTTTGGACTCTGTTTTTCTCAACTGTGAAATATTCAAGTTGGGATGTGTTTGCAAATTGAGCTCTTTGAATTTCAACCACTTTGTTCGAGTCCATGTATAGCTTCTTGAGATTGTCTGGCAATCCTCGAGGGATATAAATGAGATTATTGTCTCTCAACCAAATCTCCTGAAGATTCTTTAGCTTTGAGAAAGCCATGAATGCCACTCTGTTGATTTTGTTGTTGTTTAAGGTTAGCATGCGGAGTCTGGTGATATTTTCAAGATCCCGTTTACGTATCTCAATTATCTTGTTATGACCAAGACGAAGGTCAGAAACAGAAGGTGGGACTCCTTGAGGAACCTTCTTCAGCTGGCAGTGAGAAAAGTCGATCAGTTGAAGATTGGGGCTGCCCATGTTGAGAGCTGGAAGACTGGCAAGTGGGTTATTGTTGAGGAATAAGTAGCGCAGATATTTCTGATGTTTGAAGGCATCTGGATGGATTCTGACAAGGTTATTGTACCTCAAGTCCAGATAGTGCATATGGACATTCTTATAAAAGGTTTTAGCATGGATGACTCTTATTCTGTTTGATCCAAGATTGAGTTGGAACAAGGTTGGGACAACATCTAGGATCTGGGTCACTGTTTGGATGTTGTTGTTGGCCAGGTTTAGAGTCTTAAGGTTTGAAAGTCCAATCAAGGATTGAGAGTACATTCTTCCTATTTTGTTGTTGGACAGGTCAAGGGTCATGAGTTTTGGAACACTCTTGAAAGTTTTCTTTTTTCACAACTCTGATCTGATTTCCACTTGCCTTTAAAACTTCAACATTTGGCAGTTTGCCAAAGGAATTTTCACCAAGAACCCTTAAAGCATTTCCACCAATGTTGAAAATTCTTGTGTTTATGTCAACGTCTTTTGGTGGATTTGCCAGTTTCATGACGGAACAGTCTGTGATGTTGTTTTGACAAGATCGGCACTTTGCTGGACATGTTGGAGTAGCAGCTAGTGCTGTGACAGTGACAAGGGCAAGGCAAACGAGCAGACACTGTATGTCGGCCATTTTGGATGTTGGTGTATCTGCTGCTGTTCTACTTGAGCATCACGCTGAGTTCCTCATCTGAATAGAAAAAGGGAAAAGGTGGGGTCAGTGAAGAAAATACAACAGTATATAGTTGAAAAACTATTATCATTTTAAAAAAATATAGAGGTTATTCTTTTTCTATGGGTCATAATAATGAATCACATACTTACATTGTTAAACACAGACATGTTTTTCCGAAGTTAGTTTTAGACCTATAGGAAATTATAAGATTGTAATTAATGCAGTGAATTGAGAATGTCCAGCAGAAAGATTCTGGGTATTTAGGTTATAGATGTCCCTAAGGTACCGATCACTTTGGATTGTCTGGTCCAGATTCAATTATTGACAGACCACCACTATATTGCTAGAATATTGCTTAGTGCGACGTAAGCAACAACCAAACAAAACTCGAAAATAATGTGCTAAATCATGGAAATGACCTGAGGCAGTTGACCTGTTGGGTGTGTTGAAACTTTCTAAATGATAGGGTTGGCACAAATAGGTTCCAGTGTGAATACCTGGTAGAATTCATTGAGATGTGGGATGAGTGTTAGGATAATTTGTCAAGACACTCCAGCTGCGTGGATGGATGTTCGTGCTATCCACCATTGGATTAGGAGCTGTCATTGTCACAGGAAATCTGATTACGGGGCCAAAAACGCCTTGGTTGAATCAATTGCTCATGATTAAGACAGAAGAATGTTTTCAAAGATTTGCAAACCAGCAACTAAATTTTTGTAGATTAAGTCCAACGTATGCCTTAATTGTCTTAGCTTCTGTCTGGTGGTCTTGACTTTTAGGGAATAAATGATGCTGTTGATCACTGGGTTGTCTGGTCCAGACTCAATTATTTACAGACTGCCACCATATAGCTGGAATACTGCTGAGTCAGCATTAAACATCACCCAACATTCTCAGCCCTCTCATTTCAGGCATGAAAAACTTGCCTTATACAGGATGATATACAGGATGATATACTGTAATGTTATTTTGTAGCACGTGATGAAGTGAGGCGGCTTGATTAGCATTATCCAAAACTCATCCAGCTTATCCCAAGCATCGGGAGGGGGCATTTGTTTGACTTATACATGATAGGAGCACTGACAGACGTGAACAGCCTTCCATCTCCACTGAACCGTCAGTCTGTTTGTTCTTGTGATAACAAACATGGCACTCTGGCAATCACCACACACCAGTCTAGTGGAGCGGCCTTTCCTGATGTTGGGAATGATCATCGGCCTGCTGTCTCTGTACCAACATTATACCCTCCTTGCCCACATTTATTGTTTCAAGATGACATTTAGATATATATTTGGGAATCCTGAAATTCTTTTTCTTCTTTGATTCATATCATGTAATTCCTGCGCAATGCTTTTAAATGGTTCTTTGTACTTGTGACTTAAATCAGTAACCTGAAGACTAACTCTCGTAAAATTGATCAGTTAGAGTCTTGCTAATTATGATCCAAATGAGATAGGCAATCTAGTAGACAGAATATTTATTGGGCAAGCCTGTCTTTGGTTGTAGTGCCAGTAAAATTGAAAAAAAAGGCCATGGCTAAGCTTTGCAAGAGTGTAGCTGACAATCAAAATCCAATTTCAGGCACATGAAAATAGGGTAGATTAATGCTTAGTCCCTGAAAGTATATAATTTTGATCGTAACAAATAAACCCATTTAAATTGAAAAGGAGCCTCAGTGAGATTGGAGATTCAGAACCTGGAAAAAACAGACTAGAAAAAAGGGGTCAGGAGCCCTTGGGTCTGGAGAGGTTGAACATTTGCTTCAAAATCCTACATGACTGTGAGTGAGTGGTTTTACGCTGCTTTTAATAATATTCCAGCAATATCACGGAGGGGGACACCAGAAATGCGCTTCGCACATTGTACCCAAGTTGCGTTGCAAGACCATACCCTGATATGGCTGAAATACTTTTAAAATATGCTTTGATCCAAACTCCTGAACTCTTTGTTCACAATACACAGCAAACTGACAATCTACATATTCAAGTGCCTGGGACACTGCAAGCTTGTGAGATGGGTGGTAGACACTGTGTGTGGTCAGACATGTGACTCCATCTGTTTCCATCCTCCCTCGCTGTCTGTATGTAAGACTCGGTGGTTTACACAATACAGGATAAGTGGTTAGGGAATGTGTAAATATAAAACCCTGGCTGTATTGCAAAGGTTATACTGTTGAAGAAGTCACAGGTGGTATGGGAGATATCCATCAATGATGTCAGATGTCGGTAGGATCTCATCGGTTGAGTTTATGCCATTCTTTGGCAGCAGCAGCACAAATTGTAGGGGGTATTTGAGCTGTAATGAACGAATAGGTGGAGACCATTTTACATTAATTGTGAATGAGTATGGTTTTATGGCACATCATCAATGTTTAAGCAGTATAACAGTGAGTGAGTGAGAGCGTGAGTTGAGTTTTATTCTCCTTTTAGCAGTATTCCAGCAATATCACAGCAGGGGACACCAGAAATGGGCTTCACACATTGTACCGAGTTGAGATTCAGGCATTCAAACCTAGGTATTAGGTTTGATGAAATCAAACCTTTAAGCACTGTGTATCCAACCTTATCTTTTGAGTTTTTATGATGGAGAAAGAGGCAATCTCAGCAACTTTAAAGTATTTCAAGCTGAAACATATGATATCTTTTCCCTATCCCCACGTTCAGATAGTTTCAGCAATTATTTGGTCGGCTTTACATGTTATCAGGAAAGAAATACATTAAACTCGATGAATACATGTTTTCATTTGTTGTCTGGTTGCGTAAGTTAACTCTCTTCTAAATACACCTTTGTACTCTATAAAGCACTGGTGCTATAGTTGAGATACTTCAGTGCACATGAAAAAGGCTGATACAGTGTTGTGTGTTGCCAGTAGATCCTATCACTTGTAATAACTTCGGCTTCTCAAGGTCTCGAAACATGACCAGTTTCCATGGCTGGGATTCCCAGACTGATGGGTCCCAAGGTCCCATCTTGGGATACAGGACAGAAAGGACCCATCTGTTACCTAATCCAAGCATGTGGACCTGGACCTGTGTGTCAGACATCATAATATGATCCTTGTCCCAATCCACAAGCGTATTTTACTACACATTATGCATGACATAGTGCTACAATCACTTCGTACATTAGACGCTGGAAGCTCGGATTCAGTAACCAAACTGCTAGGATTACTGGATCCCAGTTTCTGAAACCCAGTTTATGAACCCAAGTTTCAGAATCCTAGTTTCTGAATTCATGTAACTGGTTGCTGAATACAAGTTTCTGAATCCAAGTTACTGAATCCTAGTTTCTGAATATAAGTTTCAGAATCCTAGTTTGTGAATTCATGTAACTGGTTGCTGAATACAAGTTTCTGAATCCAAGTTACTGAATCCTAGTTTCTGAATATAAGTTTCAGAATCCTGGTGTCTGAATATACGGTAAGTTGCTGAATCCTAGTTTCTGAATTCAAGTTGCTGAATCCTAGTTTCTGAATATAAGTTGCTGGTTACTGAATCCTTGTCACAGAATCACAAAATCCAGCTTACCATACATTTGTTAATGAATTCTACTTTCACAAAATGTTAGATACAGGATCCAGCAGTTATGCACATCCTGGATACATTAGTAGAAGCCGAGAAACACTCATAGTCATGGTCGTCCTCATCATTGAGTGAGTGGGTGAGTGAGTGAGTGAGTTTGATGTCACTTTTAGTAATATTCCAGCAATATCACTTCGGGCAACACTGGTGATGACCCCATGTGACGTCATTTGTAGCATTGAAAGCAACAGAGGTAACTTTGAAGATGAAATCAACATGGGTGTTTTAACCAACTCGTCCAGTTGCATAACCTGTAATGTGTTTGTGTTGTTGAATGATTCACCTCACCTTAAAACTTGTCTAGCAAGCACAGACACATTTTTTTCACAATCACAGTTCCTCTGCTTAATTATAATTCACGGTTTGTAATATTCAACAATAAACATTTGTTTGTAACTTGTGTATCGAAAAGATCTGACATTGTTTGGTGTTACAGACTGTTGAAATATTCTTACACTGAGGGGGCAGTGGGGTAGCCTAGTGGTTAAAGCGTTCGCTCGTCACGCTGAAGGCCTGGGTTCTATTCCCTACATGGGTACAATGTGTGAAGCCCATTTCTGGTGTCCCCCGCCGTGATATTGCTGGGATAATGCTAAAAGCAGCGTAAAACTGAACTCACTCACTCACTCTTACACTGAGTCTGTTGTCCTCAGTACAGAATAGGTCAACACTATCTGATATCTCTCCGGTTGATGTACTCCTCAGCAGGGCAGGCAGGAACAGTACCAATACTTATTTGACTGTGGGATAATGGTAGCCCAGCCATTCAGGGCACTGCAGTTCACTGTGCAATGCTGCACGTCTCCGATGTGCTAGAAGTCTGTGATTTTAGGTTTATATCCAAGATTTTCCAAGATGTTTTTTGGTATATCAGCACCCAGCAATGGATGTGTGAATACTGTGGAAACTAATGAGTAACTCACTCTCACTCACTGTGACAACTTTTGTACTTTTTGTCAAGATCGGTCGATGTATTTCATCCTTATCTTTTTCTGATACATCCCTGTGTGATGGAGTACGTGAGTCAATAGCTCCCTATTACTGCTGAGACATTGACTGAATAAGTCCACATAACCCAATATAATCTTTGGCCTCTTTTCCAACTTATAGCATCAGGCTAGCTATTCTCGAAACGTTCCTAAGAACTTCTTAAGCCCATTCTTAACACATTGGCTACGATCAAAGTTAAGAATTCTTAGGACAATGAACGTTTTGAGAATAAGGGCCCTGAGTGGTAGCCCATTGGTTTAGTTCGAAAGTCAGGTCAGTTCTCCTCCTTAGCCAGACTAAGATCTGCTGATCATGAGTTTGAATCCCAGATTTGTTTTGCTTTCCTACTTATGTAGATATGAAAGGTAAAGAAGCATTTAAACAAGATTTCTGGAGGTGTATTTCTAATTACATCTTAATGTGCACATATCAAATATACAAATG